ACCAAATAATTATAAACCAATTTTTCAGTGTACTATAGCAACAGGCTTAACTGGACACAGATGGAGTTCAAATTACACTTTGATAATCTGCACCAAGATCATTATTACTTTGGACCCAAGCATCAATGAACAGGAAAAAGGTCACATTTTAATTTAAACTTTATTAACTTTAATGCGTTCACAAAAAATGACAGTAGAACAGTTTAAAGTTCTTACAAATGCTTGTCAAAAGTAGAAGCATAAATTCCTAGAAAAATGTATAAGCTCAGGTACGAATTTATCATTTTAAAAATCAAAGAGTAGAATTTAATCTTACTGACTGACTTTTGAGGCACAGAATATTTAGTTATAAAAGATATCAATTACCTTGCTCTACTGTCAAAATAGTCTACTTAGGAGTCATATGTGGGTTCTAGAGCTCAAAGAATAAATCAAACCAAAGCAAGAAATTCTCTAATGTCGAAAAGACATGTAATTCTGAAAAAACAGCTGTTTTCCTAAAATCTCTCACTGTAAATCACCTTCCTTCTTGCTCACCTTTCTGTTCTTTTATGCAAACAAAGCTAAACATTTTTTCTTTTATGTAGACACTTAGTTTTGACAGATTACTCACATCAAAGCTTACCTAAGGAAAAATACATCAACAAAAGCAATAAAAAGTTAAATGTTGAAAAAATATGTATGCTCTTGCATAAAATTCACTACAATATCTGTTAACAGCAAATCTTTAAGAGGAAAAAATTCTTTGGTCTTCAAAACTGACAACTGCTCCTGGTGTTTTGTTCCATTTCAGCATAGAGAATCTCTCATTGAGTGAAAACCTTGTCTGTGAAGGAGAGAAAAGCTGTATGACCTCAGGACGTTAACAATGTTACAAAATACTCATGAAACTTGGTTACTAAAAGTAGACAGGGGATGGTTGGAGAAGACTGTGAGTGACAGAAGGAAGAGTGAATTTGAAGAAACGGCACAGAGCTCTTTTCTGTGATCCCGGAAGCAGGAAGTAGTTTGATCTATGGTATCTCACTGAGGCCACCTCTTGCTTCTTACAGGCTAAGCAGTGGCATCAAAGAGCTTTAATTGAAGAGGTATGGAAGAAAGCATACTATTACCCCACAGAATAAGTGGGTAAGCTTCCACAGAGGAACGAGGGTCAGGTTTACTTCTATGGAGTGGAGATTAAATGCCGCAACTATGCCCAGGAATTTGGTAATCTGCCTTGTGAAGGTACCCCTATGCCCAAGTGATTTCCAAGTGGTGTTATTTAGTCTATAACCAGATAAAATATCTCAAAGATCTCCCAAGACTTAACTTCTAGTTTCATCCTTTTATAGACTGCCACTGAGCCTAAGTTTCTTTCTCCATCTTCAAGAAATATCCTTTTCAATACCACCCCAAAACCTAAATCAGAAACCAGACTGATACTGCTCTGAGGCCCAAGTGGGCTATATCCATTACTCATTTTTCATTTATAGGTCTATTTTTCATTTATAGGTCATATACTTTTATGCAAAACACAATTAATCTGAATGTGTATGGAATAGGATGCTCTGGTTAATTTAACCTGTTGCTAACTGAAGGCTGGCAGATAACTCTTTTGGTTTCAACCCCCACTGTGAAAATCACTAAAAATACATTAGTATATTATTTTGCTTTAGTATGTAGTCTGGTAAACATGGTTGTCTTCTTGGCAAGCAAGAACCATGTTGAGCCTGAAGGCCACCACAGACGTAAACATATAGTACATTGAGCTAAATCCATGTGTAACTTGAAGTTCATTTAAAAAATAAGTAATTGAGGTTGGCTTATTTCGTTGACCTCTGTGTCTTTTACGAAGATGGAATACAGGGAAGAAATTTCTTGTGTATTGGGGGCTCCAAATAGGCTCTGGTTAAACACATTTTTTCCTATACATAAAAGATACCCCTGGATATACCTAAAAGAGACATGAATTCTTTACCATCTCATGAACAACATTATCATGCAACTCTATTATATTTACCTGATGACAGATTTTGCTGAAGTTACATTTCAGGTGTATTTCGTTGGTCCAGTGCTGAGCACTCTTGGTTGTAGCATACTTAGTCTTTAAGAATGAAGCTTTAACCTCACGTCTCATGAGTCTGTCAATTAAGCATAATGTTTCAATTAAAATATATTTGACAGCCATTAATTAGCTGAGTAATGTTAAGCCATTCAATTTAACGTCTCTAGGTGTCATTTTCACCAGCTATAAAATTAAGAAAGTATATCCAAGAATCTTCAAGGTTCCTTTTAATAGTATTAAGATTACAAGTACTGAATCTGGACTATAGCATTCAAGAGGATCACATGTAGGCATTAATCTAGCCTTTTTCATATTGTCACTTCAAAACCACTAGATGAGGTTTTCTGCTGTTTAAATGCCAAAGCAGTTTTACTATTATTTAAGTACGGTCATGCCTATAGGCATTTTGGAACAAAAGTAGCCAGTGCCTCCATATACAGAGAAAATGGATTAGTAGTTACCTTGGGCAGGGGGGCAGAAAGGGAAGGGAGTGAAGGGGGAGTAACTATTAATGGGTACAGAGAGTTTCTTTTGGGGATAATGAAAATGTTCTAAAATTAGATTATGGTGATGGTGCTACAATTCTGTTAATATACTAAAAGCCACTGAATTGTATACTTTGAATGGCTGCTAGTGGGTGTGGTTTCTGCTTTGTATTATTATAACAGCTGTTCATGTAAATAAACTGTACAGAAATTTTTGGTTTTGGTTTTTAATGGATGGCTAAATAATTCAAGGGGAAATGTTTACCACATGTAATGTCTTAGTTTTTTGGGGCTGATATCACAAAATACATAGACTGGTGGTCGGGGGGCGTTATAAACAACAGAAATTTATTCCTCACAGTTCTGGAGGCTAGGAAGTCCAAGATCAGGGTGCCAGCACGGTCAGGTTCTGATGAATGCCCTCTTCCAGATCGCAGACTGCCAGCTTCTAGCTGTCTCCTCACAGGGTGGAGTGGGCAAGGGAGCTCTGTGGGGGTCTCTTTTATAAAAGCACTCATCCCATTGGCTCCACTCTTATGACCTATTCACCTCCTAAAGGCCCTACCTTCTAACACCATCACATATGAATTTTGGAGGGACACAAACATTCAAACCATGGCATGTAGTCACATCCTATCAGAGGTAGAGAACAAAAGCCCAAATGCTATGTGGTTATCTTGATAGTGCCAGCTAAGTTGCTGTGATCAGTGGCCTTAAATAAGTCAAGTATTTTTTCACTGTTGCCTTTTTTTTCTGGTTATAAATACTGCTCCTACTAGGACCCAACTGGACCAAAAATAGTGTTTGATTTGAAAAAAAGAGAGTGCTCTGAGTAATTAAATAAACATTGGTTTCCTAATTAACTTTTAGTCATAATTTCTCTTTCCTTTTCTTTACTTTTTGGATAGCATATCATAGAATGTGTACATGTTTTTTGACTTATTGAACAAAATATATTGCATTCTTAATTTTAAAACCAGGTAAGTGTAACATTCTGGATGTGGTAGGCAGAATTCTAAAAATGGCCCCCAAAGAGTTCTCTCAGGACTGTGAATATGACAGCACATGCATGAATATAATACCTTATCTGGCAAAAGAGATCTTATAATTTATAAAATTACTAATAAATTGACTTTAGGTAGATTATGCTAGATTATCTGGGTTGGCCTAATCTAATCACATAACAAAAACAAAAGAGGGGGCAAAAGAGGAAGTCAGAATAATTCAAAGAGTGAACCAAACATGACATGCTGTTGGTGGTTTGAAGATGGAGGAGGCCCCACGTGAAACGGAATTCAGGCTGCCTCTAGAAGCAGAGGGGCTGCTGGCTGACAGCAGCAAGGAAATAGAAACCTCATTCCCACAACCTCAAGGAAATGAATTTCCCCAACAACTAGAATAAGCTTGGAAGCAGATTCTTTCCCAGAGCCTCCACATAAGAGAGCAAGCCAGGGCCACAACCTTGTTTTCACCTCCGTAAGACCTTAGGTAGAAAACCAGCCAAGCATACCTGGATATCTGAGCTATAGAACTGTGAGATAATAAATGGGTGCTGCTTTAATCTGCTGTTTGTGGTAATTTATTTAAGCAGTAGTAGAAAACTAATACTCTAGGCTTTTAAAGAATTTAACCTCATCTTGTACTTGTAGAGAGACAGTATCGTAGAATAGAAAGCCCACAGGTTTTGTAGCCACACAAACCAAATTTGAACGTATTATTCAAAATTTGAATTATATTATTAGTTGTATGACTTCAAGAAAATCAATGCACTCTATTGAGCTTATTTTATTCATCTGTAATATGGAAATGTTCATACCTACTTCACAGGATTGTTGGGGATTAAATTAAATCACAAATGTAAAAGTGCTTAGCACAGTGCCTAGCACATAACAGGCACTCAGTAAATGCTAGCTATTATTATTAATCTGCTTCTATGTCCACAGCTCTTTCAACCCTTCCACAGATGCCTTTGGTTAGACCCATTTTAAAGGGAGTGTAATGGCATTCTTCCCTTCCCTGTTGTAGTTCTGAAAGGATACAGAAATGCTGCTAATAATCAGTCAGTGGCCAAAGTCCTCCATGATTAAAGGTAAGATCATTTGGAATATTGAAATTTACTTAATATATATTATTATTAAAGAGCAGAAGGATTTTAATCTTAAGATTGAAAATGAGGAATGGCAGCAAATTCTTCCAGGTGACAATTCTTGCACGCCTTAAGTAGAAAGGGCACAACATCAAGACATTTATACTCACCATAGGAAAATGATGCAGGGGAATCTCAAACGTAAAGACAAAATTGAGCCAGAATTTTCTGGTTCTACATTAGGATTGTTTACAGAAATTTTATGGATTGTTCAGAATCAGATTCTAGAGGCCCCTACTAGAAGTTATATTTATTCATTTTTGATTCATTTTTCTCCTAAAACTAATTAAATTTAGTAGTACAGATGTCTGTCTGCAATTACCTTTCACGTCTTCGAAATTTTTCAAAGATGATGTACTCATTTTCCAGTGATATCTAAATGGGAAAGATTGAAACCGATCATGCCAAAGCTTTCCTTACTCAGCATAGGTATTTATTTTCTATACTTTAAATTGACTAACATTTCAGTGACAATAGTCTTTTTGCTTGATCCTCAATCTAACATTCAATTTCAGATTTTTCTCCCCTATTCACAGATGCAAGAATGTCAAAGACAGTGGACCCTTAGAGATCAAGCAGTCCAACCCCCTTACATAACAAATAAGGAAACAGAGATTCAGAAAGATCAAATGACTTCTAGTAGTGACCCAGAAGAAAACTCTCAAGATCTAGATATAGCCTGGATACCCACACTACTTGTCTGCATCAAGGAGAAACATGACTGTAGATAAAATCCACAAGGTGTCCTTATAATCTTTACATAATAAACTTGTGACCTTGAGTGTACTCAAGATAGCTAAGTGAGATGGAGAACTGTATTATCCTAACAACTTAATTTTAGAAAGTCTCACTTCTACCCCAACAGACTTCTCAAGTGAAAGTTAGGATTTTTTTTCAATAATTAACTTAAATCCCTTATTCCTGTAATTACTTTGTGACAACACAGTTTACACCTACGTGTGGTCAACGAGAAAAACCAAAGCATAATCAAAACATTCCATTCAAATGTTAATTGGCCCAGTTCACTCCATAACTAAACTGGTTTCAGTGCATCCAGTTATATATAGCTGGTATTTGGTGGTCCAGCTGTTTTTATATGAAGTCCTAACCACAGTTACAGTTTGGAGCTGGATTTGGTATTAAGAGCCTTACAAATAATACAGCAGCCAAGAAATCTGTAGAGCCAGTAGATTATAAAAGCAGAATAACACATGGAGGTATTCTTAAAAGTTAATGTTTACAGAGCAAATATTTTCTTGTTATTTTCTTGTTAGAAAGTTCGTGTTCATGTTGGAAGCAGATATGTTTACTTGTAAACATGCTACTGAAGGCAGCCTTGAATTCAAGACGCATGTGTGTCTAATGACAATGACTCCATGAGTTAAACAGAGCCTCACATACCCTTACCCCATACTCTACTGGCAACACTAGTTAACAGGGTCCTTGCCAAGAACTTAAGAAAGATAAGAATGCCATTAGAATGGATGTATAATGTGTATGGAAACCAGTAGTAATCATGGCAGATTATCCAAGAGCTTAAACTAGGTGGTAGAGAAGCCAAAGTTGGAGAAGTGAGAATAGGAGCCATGGAAATACAGAAAAAAATGGTACGAATTAGAACTGGAAACTACTGGGAGAGATATTAGCTAATGTGATTATTTCTAAAATAAGTTGGTCAATGCCATTTCCTTCCTTAAAGTCTCTCAGTAGTTCTGCATTGTGCTCTGTATAGAATCCCTACTCTAGCATGGCCCATGCTCCATGATCTGGCTCCTGACTCTAACTCTCCACTCTCACCCCTCAGCAGTTCTGCCCACACACTCTACACCTGAGCTCAACGAGTTTCAAACTAATTTTTAAAGTGAAAGAATCCCTAGTTCCAACAAAATCTTACTTGGTATCCCAATATGTAAAATACTGAAAAGCAAAACTGCCTTCTTTGGCTCCTGAGGCACCTCTTCACAACCCCTAGAACTCTGAAGTAAACAGTTTAAAAGCCACTGCAGTCTGGCCAAACTAAGCTAATTGCAGTTTACAAAATATGCCATGCTTTCTTTCACTCCTATACCTTTACATATGATGTTTCCTCTGACTGGAATGCCTTTTCCACCTTTTCTGCTTTGCTTACTCCTACTCAGCCTCTAGGACTCAACTCAAACACTATCTCCTCTACGATGTTCCTTGACTTCCCTAGCTGGTTTGGGATTCTCTCCCCCATGCTGCCATAGTACCTTGGGCATACCTCTAAGTATTTATACTATGCTCCTCTCTCTCTCTCTCTCTCTCTCTCTCTCTCCCCCTTCCTTTCTTTCTTGCTTACTTTCTTAGTAAAGATTCTTTTTCAAGCATATAGCATATACCTGGCAAATAATGAGCTCAATAACTGCCAAATGAATAAATGAAATACTACAAAGAACTAGAGGAAGAAGGGGACTGAGAAAAGGCCATTGAATTTGACAAGAAAGTAATAAATTTGTTATATTCTTTTTTTTAACATCTTTATTGGGGTATAATTGCTTTACAATGGTGTGTTAGTTTCTGCTTTATAACAAAGTGAATCAGTTATACATATACATATGTTCCCATCTCTCTTCCCTCTTGCGTCTCCCTCCCTCCCACCCTCCCTCTCCCACCCCTCCAGGCAGTCACAAAGCACCGAGCTGGTCTCCCTGTGCTATGCGGCTGCTTCCCACTAGCTATCTACCTTACGTTTGGTAGTGTATATATGTCCATGCCACTCTCTCGCTTTGTCACAGCTCACCATTCCCCCTCCCCTTATCCTCAAGTCCATTCTCTAGTAGGTCTGTGTCTTTATTCCTGTCTTACCCCGAGGTTCTTCAGGACACTTTTTTTTCTTAAAGTCCATATATATGAGTTAGCATACAGTATTTGCCTTTCTCATTCTGACTTACTTCACTCTGCATGACAGACTCTAGGTCTATCCACCTCATTACAAACAGCTCAATTTCATTTCTTTTTATGGCTGAGTAATATTCCATTGTATATATGTGCCACATCTCCTTTAGACATTCATCCGAGGATGGGTACTTAGGTTGTTTCCATCTCCGGGCTATTGTAAATAGAGCTGCAATGAACATTTTGGTACATGACTCTTTCTGAATTCTGGTTTCCTCAGGGTATATACCTAGTAGTGGGATTGCTGGGTCATATGGTAGTTCTATTTGTAGTTTTTTAAGGAACCTCCATACTGTTCTCCATAGTGGCTGAACCAATTCACATTCCCACCAGCAGTGCAAGAGTGTTCCCTTTTCTCCACACCCTCTCCAGCATTTATTGTTTCTAGATTTTTTGATGATGGCCATTCTGACTGGTGTGAGATGATATCTCATTGTAGTTTTGATTTGCATTTCTCTAATGATTAATGATGTTGAGCATTCTTTCATGTGTTTGTTGGCAGTCTGTATATCTTCTTTGGAGAAATGTCTATTTAGGTCTTCTGCCCATTTTTGGATTGGGTTGTTTATTTTTTTGTTATTGAGCTGCATGAGCTGCCTGTAAATTTTAGAGATTAATCCTTTGTCAGTTGATTCATTTGCAAATATTTTCTCCCATTCTGAGGGCTGTCTTTTGGTCTTGTTTATGGTTTCCTTTGCTGTGCAAAAGCTTTGAAGTTTCATTAGGTCCCATTTGTTTATTTTTGTTTTTATCTCCATTACTCTAGGAGATGGGTCAAGAAGGATCTTGCTGTGATTTATGTCATAGAGTGTTCTGCCTATGTTTTCCTCTAAGAGTTTGATAGTTTCTGGCCTTACATTTAGGTCTTTAATCCATTTTGAGCTTATTTTTGTGTATGGTGTTAGGGAGTGATCTAATCTCATACTTTTACATGTACCTGTCCAATTTTCCCAGCACCACTTATTGAAGAGGCTGTCCTTTCTCCACTGTATATTCCTGCCACCTTTATCAAAGATAAGGTGACCATATGTGCATGGGTTTATCTCTGGGCTTTCTATCCTATTCCATTGATCTATCTTTCTGTTTTTGTGCCAGTACCATACTGTCTTGATTACTGTAGCTTTGTAGTATAGTCTGAAGTCAGGCAGCCTGATTCCTCCAGCTCCATTTTTTGTTCTCAAGATTGCTTTGGCTATTCGGGGTCTTTTGTGTTTCCATACAAATTGTGAAATTTTTTGTTCTAGTTCTGTGAAAAATGCCAGTGGTAGTTTGATAGGGATTGCATTGAATCAGTAGATTGCTTTGGGTAGTAGAGTCATTTTCACAATGCTGATTCTTCCAATCCAAGAGCATGGTATATCTCTCCATCTATTGGTATCATCTTTAATTTCTTTCATCAGTGTCTTATAATTTTCTGCATACAGGTCTTTTGTTTCCTTAGGTAGGTTTATTCCTAGATATTTTATTCTTTTTGTTGCAGTGGTAAATGGGAGTGTTTTCTTGATTTCACTTTCAGATATTTCATCATTAGTGTATAGGAATGCCACAGATTTCTGTGCATTAATTTTGTATCCTGCTACTTTACCAAATTCATTGATTAGCTCTAGTAGTTTTCTGGTAGCATCTTCAGGATTCTCTATGTATAGTATCATGTCATCTGCAAACAGTGACAGCTTTACTTCTTCTTTTCTGATTTGGATTCCGTTTATTTCCTTTTCTTCTTTGATTGCTTTGGCTAAAACTTCCAAAACTATGTTAAATAAGAGGGGTGAGAGTGGGCAACCTTGTCTTGTTCCTGATCTTAGTGGAAATGCTTTCAGTTTTTCACAGTTGAGGATGATGTTGACTGTGCCTTTGTCATATATGACCTTTATTATGTTGAGGAAAATTCCCTCTATGCCTACTTTCTGCAGGGTTTTTATCATAAGTGGGTGTTGAATTTTGTCAAAAGCTTTCTCTGCATCTATTGAGATGATCATATGGTTTTTCTCCTTAAATTTGTTAATATGGTTTATCACGTTGATTGATTTGCGTATGTTGAAGAATCCTTGCATTCCTGGAATAAACCCCATGTGATCATGGTGTATGATCCTTTTAATGTGCTGTTGGATTCTCTTTGCTAGTATTTTGTTGAGGATTTTTGCATCTATGTTCATCAGTGATATTGGCCTGTAGTTTTCTTTCTTTGTGACATCCTTGTCTGGTTTTGGTATCAAGGTGATGGTGGCCTCGTAGAATGAATTTGGGAGTGTTCCTCCCTCTGCTATAGTTTGGAAGAGTTTGAGAAGGGTAGGTGTTAGCTCTTCTCTAAATGTTTGATAGAATTTGCCTGTGAAGCCATCTGGTCCTGGGCTTTTGTTTGTTGGAAGATTTTTAATCACAGTTTCAATTTCAGTGCTTGTGATTGGTCTGTTCATATTTTCTATTTCTTCCTGATTCAGTCTTGGCAGGTTGTGCCTTTCTAAGAATTTGTCCATTTCTTCCAGGTTGTCCATTTTATTGGCATAGAGTTGCTTGTAGTAATCTCTCATGATCTTTTGTATTGCTGCAGTGTCAGTTGTTACTTCTTTTTCATTTCTAATTCTATTGATTTGAGTCTTCTCCCTTTATTTTTTTGATGAGTCTGGCTAATGTTTTATCAATTTTATTTATCTTCTCAAAGAACACCAGCTTTTAGTTTTATTGATCTTTGCTATTGTTTCCTTCATTTCTTTTTCATTTATTTCTGATCTGATTTTTATGATTTCTTTCCTTCTGCTAACTCTGGGGTTTTTTTGTTCTTCTTTCTCTAATTGCTTGAGGTGCAAGGTTAGGTTGTTTATTCGAGATGTTTCCTGCTTCTTAAGGTGGGCTTGTATTGCTATAAACTTCCCTCTTAGAACTGCTTTTGCTGCATCCCATAGGTTTTGGGTCGTTGTATCTCCATTGTCATTTGTTTCTAGGTATTTTTTAATTTCCTCTTTGATTTCTTCAGTGATCACTTCGTTATTAAGTAGTGTATTGTTTAGCCTCCATGTGTTTGTATTTTTTACAGATCTTTTCCTATAATTGATATCTAGTCTCATGGCGTTGTGGTCGGAAAAGATACTTGATACAATTTCAATTTTCTTAAATTTACCAAGGCTTGATTTGTGACCCAAGATATGATCTATCCTGGAGAATGTTCCATGAGCACTTGAGAAAAATGTGTATTCTGTTGTTTTTGGATGGAGTGTCCTATAAATATCAATTAAGTCCATCTTGTTTAATGTATCATTTAAAGCTTGTGTTTCCTTATTTATTTTCATTTTGGATGATCTGTCCATTGGTGAAAGTGGGGTGTTAAAGTCCCCTACTATGAATGTGTTACTGTCGATTTCCCCTTTTATGGCTGCTAGTTTTTGCCTTATGTATTGAGGTGCTCCTATGTTGGGTGCATAAATATTTACAATTGTTATATCTTCTTCTTGGATCGATCCCTTAATCATTATGTAGTGTCCTTCTTTGTCTCTTCTGATAGTCCTTATTTTAAAGTCTATTTTGTCTGATATGAGAATTGCTACTCCAGCTTTCTTTTGGTTTCCATTTGCATGGAATATCTTTTTCCATCCCCTTACTTTCAGTCTGTATGTGTCTCTAGGTCTGAAGTGGGTCTCTTGTAGACAGCATATATATGGGTCTTGTTTTTGTATCCATTCAGCCAATCTGTGTCTTTTGGTGGGAGCATTTAGTCCATTTACATTTAAGGTAATTATCGATATGTATGTTCCTATTCCCATTTTCTAAATTGTTTTGGGTTCGTTATTATAGGACTTTTCCTTCTCTTGTGTTTTTGTCTAGAGAAGTTCCTTTAGCATTTGTTGTAAAGCTGGTTTGGTGGTGCTGAACTCTCTCAGCTTTTGCTTGTCTGTAAAGGTTTTAATTTCTCCATCAAATCTGAATGAGATCCTTGCTGGGTAGAGTAATCTTGGTTGCAGGTTTTTCTCCTTCATCACTTTCAGTATGTCCTGCCACTCCCTTCTGGCTTGTAGAGTTTCTGCTGAGAGATCAGCTGTTAACCTTATGGGGATTCCCTTGTGTGTTATTTGTTGTTTTTCCTTTGCTGCTTTTAATATGCTTTCTCTGTATTTAATTTTTGACAGTTTGATTAATATGTGTCTTGGTGTATTTCTCCTTGGATTTATCCTGTATGGGACTCTCTGTGCTTCTGGGACTTGATTAACTCTTTCCTTTCCCATATTAGGGAAGTTTTCGACTCTAATCTCTTCAAATATTTTCTCAGTCCCTTTCTTTTTCTCTTCTTCTTCTGGAACACCCATAATTCGGATGTTGGTGCGTTTGATATTGTCCCAGAGGTCTCTGAGACTGTCCTCAATTCTTTTCATTCTTTTTTCTTTATTCTGCTCTGCAGTAGTTATTTCCACTATTTTATCTTCCAGGTCACTTATCTGTTCTTCTGCTTCAATTATTCTGCTATTGATCCCATTCTAGAGTATTTTTCATTTCATTTATTGTGCTGTTCATCGTTGTTTGTTTCATCTTTAGTTCTTCTAGGTCCTTGTTAAATGTTTCTTGCATTTTGTCTATTCTATTTCCAAGATTTTGGATCATCTTTACTATCATTATTCTGAATTCTTTTTCAGGTAGACTGCCTATTTCCTCTTCATTTGTTAGGTCTGGTGGGTTTTTATCTTGCTCCTTCATCTGCGGTGTGTTTTTCTGTCTTCTCATTTTGCTTATCTTCCTGTGTTTGGGGTCTCCTTTTTGCAGGCTGCAGGTTCGTAGTTCCCGTTGTTTTTGATGTCTGTCCCCAGTGGGTAAGGTTGGTTCAGTGGGTTGTGTAGGCTTCCTTGTGGAGGGGACTAGTGCCTCTGTTCTGGTGGATGAAGCTGGATCTTGTCTCTGTGGTGGGCAGGTCCATGTCTGGTGGTGTGTTTTGGGGTGTCTGTGGACTTATTACGATTTTAGACAGCCTCTCTGCTAATGCGTGGGGTTGTGTTCCTGTTTTGCTAGTTGTTTGGCATAGGATGTCCAGCATTGCAGCTTGCTGGTCATTGAGTGAAGCTGGATGCTGGTGTTGAGATGGAGATCTCTGGGAGATTTTCACCATTTAATATTATGTGGAGCTTGGAGGTCTCTTGTAGACCAGTGTCCTGAAGTTGGCTCTCCCACCTCAGAGGCACAGCACTGACTCCTAGCTGCAGCACCAAGAGCCTTTCCTCCACACGGCTCAGAATAAAAGGGCAAAAAAGTAGAGAGAAAGAATTTGTAGAAGTAGGACGAAGGAAAGAAAGAAAGAAAGAAGGAAAGAAAGAATGGAAGGAAGGAAGGAAGAAAGAAAGAAGAAAAGAAGGAAAGAAAGAAAGAAAGGAAGGAGGGAGGGAGGGAGGGAGGGATGGTGGGAGGGAGGAAGGAAGGAAGGAAGGAGGGAAGGAAGGAAAAAAGAAAGAAGGAAGATAAAGTAAAATGAAACAGAGTAAAATATAATAAAGTTATTAAATTAAAAAATAATTATTAAGAAAACAAAAAATTTTTTAAAAAAAGCAAAAAAAAAAACGGACGGATAGAACCTTAGGACAAATGGTAGAAGCAAAGCTATACAGACAAAATCTCACACAGAAGCATACACATACACACTCACGAAAAGAGGAAAAAGGGGAAAAAAATCTTGCTCTCAAAGTCCACCTCCTCAATTTGGGTTGATTCGTTGTCTATTCATGTATTCCACAGATGCAGGGTACATCAAGTTGATTGTGGAGCTTTAATTCGCTGCTTCTCAGGCTGCTGGGAAAGATTTCCCTTTCTCTTCTTTGTTCTCACAGCTCCCAGGGGCTCAGCTTTGGATTTGGCCCCGCCTCTGCGTGTAGGTCGCCAGAGGGCATCTGTTTTTCCGCTCAGACAGGACGGGGTTAAAGGAGCAGCTGCTTCGGGGGCTCTGGCTCACTCAGGCTGGGGGGAGGGAGGGGTATGGAGTGCGGGTCGAGCCTGCAGCGGCAGGCTCAAAGGAACTTGCCCAAGGTTCCTCAGCTACCATGTTTCATCAAATCTAAGATACCATGATTGTAACATGTACTGTTATTTTATGTACCACTAAAAAGATTTTAAGTTTTCAGTTTAACTATACCATTAAATGCAAGGCATTTCCTGATTTCAGAGATATTGAAAACTGAAAAAAAAGCATGTCTTAGAATTGATTAAATATGAAATTAAGTGGTAGAAACATGATTCTATCCAAGTGTGAATCCAAAGCCCCTGTCATTAACTACTAGACCATAATACTTAGATTTCTTTAACCATCTCATAGATATCTTTCATTCTAATCTCATTTACAGGGCAACAAAACTAAGATTTACAGCAGTGGAGGTGACTTGCTCATGGTTATACACACAGCTAGTAAGTGGATTAGCCAGGCAGGGAAGCCAACTCTCTGAAACCCAGACTAGACCTCTTTACAGTATATCACATTACTATTTAAGCTAGCCTGTCTTTTCCTGCAGGTAGAAGTATTGGAAGAAATACCAGAGTGTCATGTGTAGGGATAAATATTAGGTGTTTCATGTAGGAGCTACATCTACTCAATTTCATCTAAACACTTATGTCAAACACACATGTTCTGTATTAAAGATGGAAGTTTCCAGCAAAATGGACTTAATTGGCTTGCTCAATATACTATTTACTTCATTTCTTGTAATTGCTGTTCATAGATCTTCAGTAAATAAATAGTAAAATAAAGACAATGTCCTGAGGATTCAACGGTTGTAAAAGATTGTTTAAAATATTAAGTACGTGCTACAAATAAGTTTTATTTGTATCATTCTTTCTCACTTTTGTCTAGTGCCCACTTAGAAGCTAAATAATATAAGGTAGGATGGGGGGTAATGGAGGAGGAGCAGGAAACTTTTTTGTGCAAGCAATTATCCAAAAGGCTGGAAACACTTGACTCATGAAGACATGTATGACATATGTGGCTTCTTCCTACATTTGATGTTGGTAAACAGGTTTTGAAATATATTAATCATCAATATAAGTAGATGCCAACAAAGACGCAGGAAGAAAGCCTATTCAAATGAAAATCTGTAAAATCACAGTTTCTCTGCTATAAATTTGAAAATGCTGATACTTACACTTTGACTCATGTTCATTGCATCATTTCTTTGCTGCATCTGTTTCTGCAAGTATTCACTCCTCTTTTTCTTGGCAAAAGTCCTGATATGAATCATAAATGGTGATACTTTAAAAAACAATCATTTATTTTGAAAGATCCAAAGATCTGATTTGTTGATTATAATCAGATTTGAATTTACTTCAAGAATTACTTGGAATGATGTAGTGGTAATGAGATACATCAGTTATCACTCTATAATTGGAGTTTAAACGGCAAGCCCTCCAAAACTAAGCACCTCATTTCCTCTGAAGCTATTTTCTGTGTTTAGAAAAGCTTTCATCAGGTAGACAGCCCAGCTAATGCAAAGATATACAGATTTTGCCACTCATTTCTTGTAAGCTACTTAGCGGAGGTTACAAAGAAGTTTTTATTTTGTTAAGCTTTACTATTTACATATTACTCTAGCCAAGGAAGATATCTGACTGTGGATATAATTACCAAATCAGGAAAAAGGAGCAAAAGCTGAAATTGTTATCAGGTATCTTGGGGGCGTTAAAAATACAAATTCACACCTTGTTTCCAATAATAAATCCTCTTTAAAATTTTAAAGAATCATACTGGTTTTTCAAAATTGAAAAAAGTCATTGTAAGTCCCCATAAATAAATAATATTCTGAATATGCTACCATATTTTATTCCAGATGCTTGCCTAGTTACCTGTCTTTTGTTCAGACCACATTGGGCTTCTACATTGGTGACCTTTTTTTTTTTTTTTTTTAAGGTAGAAATACCTTAAAAATTAAGGCAGAAGTTTAGCATTTCTGGTTTGTCTTTGTCTTCTGGTGAAGCTAGCCTGAGTGGTGCATAAGCCAACTGCAGGTCTTAAGGATATTATTAAGCCTAACTGGTCAACATATATAACATATATATATATATATATATATATATATATATATATATTAAAATGGAAAGTTATGGAGTAGAAGAATTAATCTCCAAGGGATCAATTATCAAAGTATATTAATTTTCTGTACTTTATGTGTTCTTTAGTAAGAGTTCTACATTTGATAACTTTAACCAAGCAAGAATTACTTACTTGCGCTAAGGATACAAAAAAAGTTATAATAATAGAAGATAAAGGAGAAAAAGCTGAACAGAATTGTTCATTATATTTTAAAATGCACTTGTAAAATGACAGAATATGTCATTGGAAAACAGTAAGTGGAATTTCAGTGCCTTAGTGGAAGTGTTATACCACTTGACAAACAAAAATGGACGTGTAAAATGAAACAAAACAAGAAAATCCCTGATAAATGTAGAAATAATTGCTTATCATCAGTGTTAAACATATGTTAATTTTTTAATAGGAAACTGTTTGTATACTGCAGGGTGGGGCCTTTAGCATTAAAATGGTGCCTACATCAGACATTGTCTATATACACAATAACACACATATACATTTTGGAAATAATTTTTTTAGCTGAAAACTGCAACTCTATGCAGTTAATATGAGCTAAAGTATTTGACTAGACATTTATAGGCAATGCAAAATGAAGGCAATCACTGAGAAATTTAAATTAAAAATAATGTTTTTACTCAATTACCTAGCCAATTACAATAAAAATGTCTTGAGGTTTTTAAAACTCAAACAATCTGCAATACTATTAAATTTCTCTGGTTCTTTTGTTAGGGCGGACAGACCTAGCCTAACAGTTTTATAAGGCAATAATGAATATATACAATATTCAAAATATATTTAGGTTAGGGTTGCAACTATGCATAAGCTAGACCTCTCCTATGTTCTGATTTGTGGAAAGCAGAAAAGTTCAGCTGCCCGAAGATACACCTATTATTTGTCTGCTGAGGGCTCCCTGAAGACTCTTTAGAAAGGAGGTAGAGGAGGGAAACAGAGGAATTCATTATCAGAGATTATATATTATCAATTTAGTATAGTTCATTGTTAGATTAGCTAGCCTAGCAGGTTGGAAGGTTCAAAGAGAATGGGACACTGAGTCAATATATTTTGATTGTGGGAAAGGCTCCGTAGGAAAGATTGAGTACATTGGAGCTCTTCCAGGGAAGCTGACCTAGATGGAACAACTTAATTAGGGTAATTAGGAAACTGGATGATAGCTAGAGGGCATCAGTAAGCTGAAAGAATATTGATGCCATGAATACATCACCTCTATTCTATTAATATCTTTGTCCCGGTTCAATTCTGTTTCAACAAATACATATTTAGCCATTAAAATATAGATATATAAAGCATGCCTTTACATTTCCATATCACTCAACACATTAATAGTTAAGTACTCATTATGTTTCTACCTGTTAAATTCACACTCAATTTCTACTGATGAGTATCTTTTATATCTCCCTGATTGGTCATGAGATCTCTCCGATTGACCATGAAATCTCCCTGTTTGGCCATAGGATTTCCCTGATAAGACGTTAGATATCTTTGAATGGCCATGAGATCTCTCGGAGTGACTGTGGAATCTCTCAGAGCGGTCATGCGATCTCTCCAACTGGTCATGAGATCTTTCTGTATAGCTACGAGATCTCTTTAATTGGCCATGATATCTCTTTGATTGACCATGAAATCTCTCTGATCGGCCATGAGCTCTTTCTGATTGATGATGAGATCTCTCTGCTTGGCCACGAGATCTTTCTGATTGACGATGAGATCTCTCTGCTTGGCCACGAGATCTTTCTGATTGATGATGAGATCTCTCTGCTTGGCCATGAGATCTTTCTGATTGATGATGAGATCTCTCTGCTTGGCCACGAGATCTTTCTGATTGATGATGAGATCTCTCTGCTTGGCCATGAGATCTTTCTGATTGACGATGAGATCTCTCTGATTGGCCATGAGATCTTTCTGATTGACGATGAGATCTCTCTGATTGGCCATGAGATCTCTCTGCTTGGCCATGAGATCTCTCTGATTGGCCATGAGATCTCTCTGATTGACCATGAGATCTTTCTGATTGACGATGAGATCTCTCTGCTTGGCCACGAGATCTTTCTGATTGACGATGAGATCTCTCTGATTGACCATGAGATCTTTCTGATTGACGATGAGATCTCTCTTTTTGGCCACGAGATCTTTCTGATTGACGATGAGATCTCTCTGCTTGGCCATGAGATCTCTTTGAGTGGCCTTGAGATCTCTCTGAATAGTGTTGATTTTCTTCTGATTGGCCTTGAGATCCTTCCGATTGATGTTGGTTCCTCTCTGATTGGCCTTGATTCATCACTGCTTGGGCTTTAGAATTTTCATTGCACTTCTCCTGCAAAGAACCGCAATTTTGAAAAACAAATGAAATATATACCCTATCGATTTCATTAACTCATAATGATATTTTGTTAAGACCATTTCTATGGGCAACTCTTTTTTTAGAATTCCACTGCCCCTACTTTTTTTTTTCTTTTTTGCGGTATGCGGACCTCTCACTGTGGTGGTCTCTCCCGTTGCGGAGCACAGGCTCCAGATGCGCAGGCTCAGCAGCCATGGCTCACGGGCCCAGCTGCTCCGCGGCATGTGGGATCTTCCCGGACCAGGGCACGAACCAGTGTCCCCTGCATCGGCAGGCAGACTCTTAACCACTGCGCCACCAGGGAAGTCCCACTGCCCCTACTTTTAAAGACTAAACAGTTTTCAGAACTAATATGTAGAAAGCTCTGATCTCTCCTGGCATTGGCACAAAGAATATTATGCATATAAAACTTTAATAAAATGCTTTAAATATGGAAAATTAACTGTTTTGTGAATTTGAATATATTCCAAGGTCATACGCTACCTACCATTTTCTGGATCTGTGTTTTACCTAAAGAAACAACCAATTCTGTGACTTTATAGTTGAGAGACAGAATACTTAATATTTTGTAGCACAAATCCTTAGAACCACAAGAAAGTGTTCAAAATCATACTATTTATTCTTCACCTGTTCAGGATCAGGTGAAAAAGAAACTATCAACTAACACAATATTGTAAATCAACTATACTTCAATTTAAAAAAACTTACAATAAATTATCTATCTCTTCTATATAAATTAATACTTAATTCTAGAGGGAAAGACAAATAAGTGAGGGGATAGGTAGCTATAAAGAAAGCAGAAGGTAGGCTTAATACTGTTAAAGTAAACTGGCCTGACAACAACTCAGTCTTTCTACCTTTTCACTTTTTAAATTAAAAGGGCAGTGGAGTGAATCAGTCAAATGGAAGTAATGAAACCCTTGACAAATCTCTATGATGCTACATAATTGTAAGTGGACAAAGTCATATGGACCATGCTAAGAAATCAAGCTTTCCACTAGCAAATAGTGCCTGGCAAACAAAATATGCCCTAGCTCTGACATTGTGACTTTGTAGTATAACACTACCAGAAGCTGAATGCAACTATTAAAAGGCAGGGGAGGTATTGGCATAAAGAATATTATTCACATAAAACTTTAGTAAAATAAAAAATATGACAAATCTGCTGCTTTGCTAAAGCATAAAGCCATAGTCACACTCCAGATTTTCTACTGTAAAACATAAATAAGGAGATTGGGTGGAATGCACATGTACATTTTCTTTTCTAAGTGACTAGTATTGGGAACACAGTGGGTCAACAGGAAGGATTGAGACCTATCTCTTAAAGACCCATATGCATCCAAGTACCTTTCCAAAGGAACTTGTGGTCTTTTTACAAATGTTTATATAAAAAATAATTTCGTCAAATTGGATACCACAGATTTCTACCTTTAGAAAACAACAGAAATTATCAAAAACAGAAACTTCGCTTATAAACAACAGAAACTATCAAAAAGAGTTGTACTGAATAAATACAATTGTGTTTTACTGATATTAGGATTAAATCTTGTGAAATACAAAACTAGCTTATTAGAATTTCAAAGCATGATTGAAACCTGTAATTGTTATTCAATTTATTGGTAGAATAATCATGTTTAAATTTTAATACATTTCTATATTGCAGAGTACTTTTTTCCAGTGAGTTCTGCTATAATGACAGTCTCAAATGTCTGAAAAGTATGAGAAATAGAAAGATGCTTTCAGGGCTTCCCTGGTGGCGCAGTGGTTGAGAGTCCACCTGCCGATGCAGGGGGCACGGGTTC